TGTCAGGTTGAGGAGGGCAGAGTAGAAGGCTGGAGGATAAATGGGAATGAGAAATGGGTAAGGGGAAGTTAGCTGACTGAATGGAAAGAAGACAACAGTCATACTATAGATGGAAGATGACTAATTTAAGATGACAAGAGCGGGGTCACCAGAGGATACAGGTAGCTCCGAAGCTGGAGTTACATATCTGAAGAATGTTGGGTGACTCCACTAAATGAAATGGAAAGAGGAATGGTTTAGAAGTATATAACAAGATGTCAGAGGTCTGTTGGGAGGTTGGAGCAAATCCAGAGGTTCTGAATGTTCCAACTTGGGACCAAGCTTCCGGGATGGGGGTGGCTAAGGGTGAACGTGCCAAAGTCCAGGCTGGAGCTGAGACAGTATGGAGCAGAGGGTGACGTTGGGAAGTAGGCAGGCATGGTGTAGGGGATGATGAGGTTGTTAGGAAGGTGTAGTGGGGTGGGAGAGTGTGGGGTCAGGATTCCAGGATATGACAAATACTCCTGGAAGCTCCTGAAAGCTCCTGGGTGTCAGGGTTCACATGTTGATTCATGATAAAGAAGTCCTGAAAACCTAGTCATTGATACAGCTGAGGTTCTTGTCAGGGCACACCCTGACTAGCCTGGACCCGGACCCACATGTGCGCTTCTGCCCCGCACACCGCATGCTCCGGGCCCAGTTCCTATCCTTCATGTGACTTCCGGGTATCCCCGGAAGTTTTCACCATATTGGGGCCACTGTGGGAAAGTGAGAAGTTAACCTTCTTCTCACTTTCTTACCCACAGTAGTCATGCCCTGAGATGGGCTGTGTTTACAGGTCAGGCTGTGGACTGTAGAGAGGGGTCATGGGGACCTGGGGTGTCATATCTGTACATACCTGATCCCAATCTGACTCCCGGACCCCCATCTTCATCACCTCCGGAGTCCTACCCTACTTCTGTCCACTCCGATACTCACCTTCAGACTGAACATCACTCCTCTCGCCACCCTCCTCCTATTACTCTGTCAGGGCACACACCCTGACTAGCCCGGACCTGCTTCCACCTGCTGCACTTCCCACACGTGTGCACGCTCCGCGCGCTGCATGCTCCGGGCCCAGTTCCTACCCCTTCATGTGACTTCCGGGTATCCCCGGAAGTTTTGCTGATATTGTGGCCACTGTGGGAAGATGAGAAGTTAGCTTCCTTCTCATCTCCTTACCCACAGTAGGTTGTGCCCTGGATAGGGCTGGTTACACCACAGGCTGTGGACCATAGGGGAGGGTCATGGGGACCCGGGAGTCATCCCCTGACATACTCCTCCTCACTCCTCACATCACCTCCACCCTTCCGTCCCTCTCCTACCCTACTTCCGTCTGCTCCGATACTCACCTTCGGACCTGACACCATTCCTCCTCCACTCCTCTCCCCACTCCTCTCATCACTCTCCTCCCTCCTCCCCTCTTCCACCAAAACCTCCAGCAAGCTATGACCTTCCACTGCTGTCCCATACCCTGTACTCGGACACCGCTCGTACCTTCACTCCAAGATTCCGTCATAGTTCCGACCTCGGACTTTGACTCCACCTCAGCTTTAGTCCATTGCATTGGTGACCCCATACTACATAAACACCATTGCCAACATTCCTCAGACTTTCAATCCCACCTCTGCAACCTCCGTAAGCTCCGCAACCTCCAAGCTCCATGGACCTTACTTGGCACTTTCACCAATTATAATGTATCTTTCGCACTTTCCCCTCATCCTTATTTGGACTGCTGCTTCTCTCCATTCTAGCCAGTTAGTCATCATCCCCACTTCACCTCATCCTCCTGCCCCTCTGGGCTTCGCCCTCCCTATCTCCTTTTGGATGTACCACAGATTCTAACCTATGACCTTCGGTGCCACTCTGCTTCCATCATCTGTCAGAGACCAGATTCGAGACAAAGGAATGTCTCCATAGCGGAGGGCTTCGGCCTCAGCAACTTCTGCCAAGAGCACTGTGCCTAGTGACACGTCCGTGCCCTAACTTACTGACTGGCAATTAGAACCTAGGGGGGTAACTCTAGTTGATTTTACTACTGGGGTGTAACCTATGTACAAGTGGGATATATATATGGTTACAGCGGAGACGGGTCCGCAATTGGTGGAGCCGAACGGAGCGGAGCTAACGGGGTTTAACATTAGCCGACTGAATATTACCGATGAGTCGGTTCGTGGGGTTAGCGGAAAGGCAGGCGATAACCCAGAAACGGAAAGGAGGGATAGGCCTGAAGGTGGGCTCTGCAGGGCAGGCGAGTGTATTGCCCAGCGGAGGCGGGGGTGCGCTAGCGGACGTCGGAGCTGTCCGGAAATCTTCGGGGCTCCGTACTTAGGGAGGCGTAGGTAATAAATTGAAATGAGGGGTGGTGACCATCGAGGGGTGCCGAGAGGATTGCGGAATATGGGGGCTCCGAGGTTAGTGAGGGAGGAGCGGAGTTGGAATGGAGGGATCGGAGGGACCGGAAGTCGATGGCCGGGGATGGATATGACAGTATCCCCTTCTTAGGCCTGAACCCTTGAAGGCCCAGAATTAGTAAGACGAGGGGAGCTGCACTTACAGGAAGAAAGGCAAATGAGGAAATAAAAATGAAAACGGAAGTGAGGAGCGGAGGGGAAAGGAGAAATGGGAGAGGAGTCAGGGTTCCTAAGGAGCTTCGGGTCCAGGCTTCGCTGGATACCGAGAGTGGAATGCTTCGACGAGGTCGGAGGCGTGATCGAGTTCGCCGGCAAGGAGCCATTGTGTCTCCTCGTCGGTCCCTTCATAGCCTAGCCACTTGACCAAGTAGAGCAGCTTGTTGCGTCTACGTCGGTCGATCTTGGAGTCGAGTATTTCCTCGATCTCAAACTCCATCTCGCCTTCGATCTCTACGGGAGGCGGAGGTGGCTGGTGGCGGTTCAGAATGGTGTTCGGGACGGATGGTTCGATCTGCGAGACATGGAATACCGGGTGAATGGCTCACATGTTTTCCGGCAGGTGGAGAGTGAGGGAGTGGGTTCCAACACGGGCGATGATCTCGAATGGGCCGAGGTTTTTCTCGGAGAGCTTTTTGGAAGGTCGAGTGGAACGGAAGTACTTGGCCTTTACGTAGACCGAGGTTCCTACTTCGAAAGCTGGGGCAGGGCTCTGTTGAGAGTCTGCCGGGCCCTGGTAACGGATCTGAGCGAGATGCATTTCCTCGCAAAGGAAGTGGTGGAGGGAGTCGAGGTCGACGGAGTACTCTTGGGCGCGTACCGATGTCAGGTCTCGCTCCGGGTGAACGGTGATGTTCGGATGGTAGCCCTTGTTGGCGAAGAATGGGGAGACACCCGTGGTGGCATTCGGAGCGTTGTTGTATGTGAACTCTGCGAGAGGCAGGAGTTCAGACCAATTGTCCTGCTGGTAATTACTGTAAATGCGCAGGTACTGCTCGAGCATCTGGTTCATCCGTTCGGTCTGACCGTCTCCTTCCGGGTGATAACCGGAGGTGAAGTGGAGGCAGATGTCGAGGGCCTTACCAAGTGAACGGAAGAAATGAGAGACAAACTCCGGACCCCTGTCGGAGGTGACATGGGATGGAACTCCGTGCTTGGAAAATACATGGAGGAGGAAGAGCTTGGCCAGTTCCGGAGAGGTGATGGTATCGTGGGTAGGGATGAAGATGCACTGTTTGGACAGGCGGTCCACGACGACCAAGATGGAAGTGAATCCGGAAGAGGAGGGTAGCTGTTCGATGAAATCCATGGAGATGGAGTTCCAAGGACGTTCGGGGATGGGGAGTTGTTTGAGTAAGCTGTAAGGCTTGTGACAGGGGACCTTGGCACGGGCGCACGAAGTGCAGGAGGATACGTAACTCTTGACGAAGTTACGGATGCCCGGCCAGGTATAATCACGACGAACTAGATCCAGAGTCCGGTTTTGTCCGAAGTGTCCGGAAAGTTGGTGGTCGTGTTTGTCTCGCAAAACATGGAGACGGAGATCGTTAGAATCCGGCACGTTGTAATGGGTCTATCACCACTAGACTCGAGACAGAAGAGAGGGGGAGGGTTGGAGTGGTCGCATGCACAGGTTTTGTTAACTTGGTGTGGATTCCGCTACTCCTCACTGTCTAGCTAACTATACAGCTGGTCACGGTATCACGGAAGAGTCCGAAAATGACAAATAAGGAAAGAACAATAAGAAAAGGAAACATCCGGCTCTAATGGAATCAGAAAAATCAGGAAAAATAAGAAATATGCAGGAGAGAACATTGGCTAAGGGTGGTAGAATCGCGGGATTTGGCTTGTTTATGGTACACCAGCAAATCCCCGTTACATACAGGCCTTGCTCTTGATTGCAGTCCCTTGCAATCTCCCGAAAGGAAAAAAGTCAAACAGAAATAAACAAAGTAATCAGATGAGGCCCCGGTGTTGAATGCCATGTGACTTCGGAATTTGTCCGGACCAGGGGGTCATGTGCAGGCGTGAGAAGATCCTAGGCGAGTTACTCGCCCACGGACACATGAGCTGCGACGAAGTTGCCTTGCCCATGCGACTGCTTCGCATACTTCAACAACTTCCTTCGGCACTCACTCATCCATCAATCGCCTCAACTCTTGCCATTCCCAACACCATCAACTAGCTCCAGCGTCAACCTACACCAGAACTCGACAGGGTACGGTCGTGGCATAGTGTGCTGCGCTTGGGCGACCTCAACATCAGGTACGACGTCGCTGTGTGGCAACTTCGGCGTGAAAATCGGGGAAAATCGAACAGAAAGCGAAAGGAGCGTGGATTTATCGTGTCAAACTCGAACAAAGGTTATTTGGCTAGGAAATCGTGGCATCAAGGACTAACGACGCGTCCAACTCGGGCCAAACTTGTAAACTCAGAAATAAACGGCGTGGTTTCGCATGCAAAAAATAAGTGCACAAGTTGCACTCATCGGGAATCGTAAGAACACGCGTATAACTTGAAAGAATGTTGGGAAATGATTAAAGGTCGGCTTAGTTTAAGACGAGGGCGGGCTTATGCTTGGAAAGAAAAGATGCCCTCCGGCATCGCGAGTATGTGGGTGTCACCTTGGGACTCAACACCACGCAAACATTTGACCTCTGGAGTCTCCTCTGACTCTTGTTCTCGGGCTGGGCCATTTCCCGGACGTTTATTCATGTTTGAGACCTTGTCGGGGTCTTTCTCAGGTCGGCATTCATAGCCGTCATCGACTAGGTCGGGGGAACGTGGGGTCTTTGGGGGCTGGGGTGCTCCATTGCCAGGACCAGCGCTAACGAGATTCCGGGAGGTAGGGCCGTTCATTGCGTCGAATACATCATGTATGTTAGCATCTTTGTCGATCAAATCATAATCCTGTTCTCTATTCAACTCGCGCGTAAGAGTGACTGAAATCGGCATCGAACTAAGCTCATCGCTGAGGCTGAGGGACTTTGGCTCTGATTTAGCCTTGAACTCGGTCCCATCTTGCGCTAGGCTGGGTCTGAACTGGATTTCGCGCTCCGCGGCTTGGGCAACTTCAAAAAGAATCACAAGGCCACCGTGGATGACATAGATGCCCTCTGGCGTCTCAAGCACGGAAACCTCGCGGCGGAAGTCGGTACACAATGTGGAACAACAATTGAGCTCATCGTTGAGGCCGGGAGGCCTTGGCTCTTTATGCTCGTGCTCACTGTCCTCTTGGGCTGAGTCCAGGACTCGTGCAATGTTCGACTTTCTGCTTGGTTCAGACTCGCCATTGACTTCGAACAGGGCGATCTCATCATCGCAAATGATATAGGTGCCTTCCGGCATTTCAAGTGTGAGGATGTCACTGTGGAGCTTGGCATCTCGTATACTTTCGGCCTCTGGAGTCACCTTAGACTCGTGTTTGACTTCAAAAAATGCGATCATGTCATCGCAAACGACATAAATTCCATCTGGATTTTCAACTGCGAAAGTGTCCCCTTGGAACTCGATCTCTCGCGAACATTCGGCCTCTAGAGTCTCTTCAGACTCATACTCTCGGGCAAGGCCATCTCCCGGACGCTTATTCATATATAAGGCCTTGTCAGGATCTTTCGTGGGCGGTTCAGCATAACCGTCATTGAACTCGGATATGGTTGGCAGCGACGGCATCCTAACGTGCTTAGGCGCTTCACCACCACGATTGGGATCGGATTCGCAGCTCAGAGCTTTATCTGGATCCTTCTTGGGTGGACTACCAGATCCTTCATTGTACTCAGGTGTGAAATGTCGCCTCTCTGCGCGCATCTTGGCTTCACCATACCCGCTGGCGCTGGACTCGCCACTAGAGTCCCAAACTGAAACGCTGGATTCCTTGGTGCTCAAACGTTCACTATATTCTCCAGCTCTGTCGCAAGGCACAAGGAACTCGTTCTCACTGTGGACCGGAGTCGCATCTTCGGCTTCATGACTATGACTGGTCGACGCAGCATCGATTGGCTCGATCTCTTGGCAGCTGGCATTGATAGACTCAGTGGAAGACTCGACACTGCTGTACTCTTCGATTGGGATTGCGACGCTAAGGTTGACCTTTGGCTGCTTGAGTCTACACATCTCAGGTGTAAGAATCAGCGCGCGCGGGGGCAGTTTCTCATAAGCCTGATCAAGCGACACGGGCGCTACTCTGGTCGCCTTGGCTGGAATGACGTGTTCAACTAGCAGCAACGGCTTGGGGGTGAAGACTTTGTGGCATGTTTTCACTCTAGGAAGCTTGACATCGACGGCAGCGGCTTGGCTGGCGACTCGGAATCCTCGGCTAACTTGCTGACTGGGCTCTCGTCGCTCATTACTCTGGAATGACTCGAAACGACGTGGAACATTGCACAAAAGATGGCATTGGTCATTACTCAGTGGTCTTGGGCCGGCTTTGGGCACATCGGGCTCAAATCCAAAGGCAAACTGGTACAAGTCCGACATCTCAGCGATGTCGGCGCTTATCTCTGGAAGCACAAAGCGCTGGCTGTGATCAGCCTCGGATGCGCTCTCGGAGTCATACAACGGGCTATAGGCTTCGTCTGGGCGAATAGGATCGGTGGGCGCATGTGCTGAGACTGCGGTAACTGGGTCTTCTGCAAAAATGTCGAGTTCTGAGTCGGATTCGAGGCCGTTAGGCCTTAGCTCTTGATCGTTAAGCTGTGGCACATCGGAGAAACTCGCAGAATTGTCGTAAGAAGTTGTCTCTAGGCCAGCGTCGTCAAACTCTGGCTGGGAAATGCATTCATCGGTCACAGCAATGGACTCGGATTCATAGGCGCTGGGCGTTTCCCAGGTTTCAGACTGGTACTGGCCCATCAGATCGAAGGTTGAGCCACTGGAACTCGTCTCTGGGGTTTCTGAGTCTCCTGAAGCGCTGGGGCTCGATTCCATGTCAAACTTGGGCAGAAAGTCTTCAACTGTTGTAGATCGCGATAAATAAACTGACGACGCGCCAGACACACTGTCCTGAGTGGTTTGCTTGCCACTGGGGCCTTCGCTGGAACATGGGCTTGGTTCAGGCTCATTGCTGAT